TGTTTTTTCAGAAGCCCGGGGTCTTTTGGAGTGTCATTTGTTTCATAGTTAGATGCCTGACTGACAACTGTATAAAACAAAAAAACAAAAACTACACACAATAAGCACATAGTGCACACTGTGGGAATTTACGACTGTGCGTAAATTCCCCCTAATTATGATCCGAGCTCAGGCACTAAGCAACTGAGCGAGGGGCTGGGGGGAGCTGCTGCCTGTGAGTTTGTTGTTGGAGAAGCACAGAGAGGCAGACAGAGGAGAACTGAAGTTTGACCAGGTACCAAAGCAAATCATCCGTACTGTACAAATGATGTAAATATGATGGTGTATCACAAAAGATTGATGTCAAATTGATCACTTGACCCATATTACATTACTTGCTCCTCGAGTGAATCAACAAATGGCGAAATGAAAAGCTGAACAACAACAATGCTGTTTTTTCAGTCCTAGGAGAGAGAGAGAGAGGAACAGAGAGAGAGCGAGGAACAGAGAGAGAGAGAGAGAGAGGAACAGAGAGGGAACAAGAGCAGGTGAGACACACATGTTAGTCAAATGGTTTTTTGCCAAAACTCATCAGAACATGTATCTCGTACCTAGTGTTTCTTTTTAGATTTAAGATATCCTGCATATGTGATATATATTTTTTCCTATATGAAGCTTTTGAAAAAACTGAAAGCACAGCCTAATAAATCCCCCTCTTCGCAAAGTCCACTTGTTGATGGGATTTCGAATGCACTGACTTGAGATGTGTTTGATTGAAATCTCCAGCAATAAACAGCACCGTAAAAAACCCCCCCCCTAAAATAACAGTTATATTCCGGTAGCTGGGGTGCCAAAATAATACCAGAAAATACCAGAAAATAACTTTCCCATGAAAATGCAGTTATTTTCAGTAATGACAGCACCGTTTGTTGCCCTAATTTTACATGGGATTTTGGCTTTTTCAAGTGCTTTTAAACATTAAATTAGGAACAATTTAACATGATTAAACAATGAAATTACCTATAAACAAGGTCAATGAATGCGTCAATATGAATAATAATACTTAAATTTACAGAAATATACAGTTAACAGTTGGTTTTAAATAATAATGGATTGCATCCATATAGCACTTTATGAGACCCTCAAAGTGCTTTACAATTTCACTTTATAATTCCCCTCTGGCCATCACCAGTAGGCGGTAGGTGAAGTGTCTTGCCCAAGGACACAACAACCGAGAGTGTCTGAGCCAGGGTTCGAACCAGCAACCTTCTGATTACAAGTCGAACTGCCAACTCTTGAGCCACTATCGCCCTAATAATAATAATAATTATTTGATGTATAAAAAAGTTTATACCAATCATTTTATATAGTTTTCCATAGCATTACATTTGAATTTGACAGTTCAATCTTTCAAATGACAGACAAATATTTGTGGAATTATGATGCATTTGTGAATGTATTTTAACAATCTAAATATGCATATGTACAGACAAATACATTTAAAAAACAAGAATATTTTGTTTTATTACAGTGATTTTACGTTAATTTACATTTGAAATGTAAAATCACAGTCTATTTATGTAAATTTAATGATATTCTAGAAGAACAGTACAAAACTGTAAAATACACAGTAAAATACTTTTATATTACAATTTTTTTTACAGTGAGTTCATCGGGGTGTTGGCCTGGTTTCCTTCATCAGGCCACTCCCACATCGACATACTTTTTAGACAAGTATTTTCTTGGCACTGCCTATTTTGCTGCCTGCCTATAATGTGTGCTTTTGTCTTATTATTATTTGTATATATATGTCTCCTGTTTACTACTTATACCATGTGTCATCTATTATATTGTTATTCTGGCAATGCTGGTGTATAGCACATACGTCTTGTACATGTACAATTACAATAAGGGCTATTTTATTCTATTCTATTTTATATAGGTTGGATGATAGTGCTTTAATCAAGATAAACCACAATCTTGCTTTACCTCCAGAGCAGAAATGTGGTTGTGTTGGAAAGATTTTTATCATCATTTTATTTTCAACTCATTATAGTACAATATACTGAATTAATATTTTTTTAAAAGACACTGTGACAGTCCTAAGGTTCACTGCTAATGCCAGACTGGTTTGTGGTAATTTCTGCTGCCTAAAGCGCTCAACTGCAGGACAACAAATGATCTTATATATTATCAAAGAGAACTTTGAAAATATAAATTCACAAAAATGTGACATTTTTGCCTTTCATATATTGCAATTAGAGGTAGGAGATTTTATGCAATGTTATAGTGTCCATTCTGTATATATATCCTATAACACATTATTTTGTGTTATCTTTTACATGATACAAGCCGAACATCAAACCTTAGTATATTTTTTCTTTTAGTTGTGTCAAGGTTAAAATTAAGATTCTAATACTTCCATCAGACTAACAAGTGTGGTTTTGGGGGGTTTTCAGCTTATGCTTGCACTAAAGTGAACTGACAGCACTAAAAGTGATTTTAAAACTGTTGTCTTGTATGCTGAGGTATTAATGTTGGAGTAATTGTGGCTCTGGAGCTCCAGCTGCCAGATTGGCAGCTCATTTAAACAAACACTGTGAAGGAGATGAGAGATGAGGTTTAGAAATGGGAAGTTTATGAGATAAGCGACAGTTACAACATCACTGATACACTCCTCCTTCTCGCTGTAATTGAGACCTCATTTAGTGAACATGATGCTGATTCTTTAGTTTTGTCTGAAACAAAGGTGGCCGAAAGAAAAAGAACCTGGATTTACCTGAAACCAGCAGAGGAAGGTCTTTTTTAAAAACTGACTCATAAGATGGACACAAGCAAAATGAGTCTTGTTAGAAATTTTAAAGAACCTCACAGATGATTCAGTGTGATTGAAGGGTTTGTACTAATGCTTTTCTCAGAATACCATGAATTTCTGCTAGATTAATTCTGTCAGTTTGATCTCCATGCTGTCACGTGGACATGTTTTATTGTTGAAAATACTGAAACTAGTGTGTGATAGTGGGAAGTGATTTCAAAATAAAACCAAACAAGACTGGCATCCCCGTTGTAATTTGGCTCCATCTGCTGCCAAAAGCTCTCAACTGCAGCACAACAACTTCCATTACAGTTCAAAGAGAACTTTGAAAATACAGATTCAACATAAAAATAATTAGAAGTTAGAAGAAGTGCTGATTCTTCATTTCGAGTATTTGAAAGGCAATGCTAGGCACTTCTCAGAGGATTAAGCTTAAGTACTTGACCTTTCATCAGGTTTTTCTGATCTCTAGGTAAAACTTATGGACATAAAAAATATTTTAAGGTTCAAAATGGGGTCCAGTTTTGTGTTTAACCTCAAAATCACAACCAACTCGACTTTTTAGGTCGAGTCATGTTCTAGGTCAAGTTTCTGTTTGAGTCTGAACTTTAGAGAGTTTCTAGAAACTCTATATGGGGCTCTTTGTGAAGATTATGATGATATTGAAACTTTAGGGGTCCTTAAAGGATTTCCAACTGTCCTGACAGGGTTTAAATCATTAAAAAGTTCTTAAAACCCAGAGGCAGATTTAAGGAGGATATGGAAACCGCTCGTAATGGTCTGCTCCCCCCCACACACACACACACACCTCGGAGCTAATACAACTATATACACCCACCCGTTAGGTCAGCCAATCAGCAGCTCCTTAGGGTACCAAAAAGTTTCCTTAAAGGAGTGTTAGCGGTTAGTCAAGAAGCTTGAGATCACACTGTGGTTGCAGGGCCCTTGAAGAGGTTGTTGAAGGGCCCTGCAGGGCCTTGAACAACCAAGAACCTGCTAAACTACAACATTTATGTCATTAAGGAGACTGTAATATGTGATGCAAGCTGAACATCAAACCTTAGTATATTTTTTTCTTTTGGTTGTATTAAGGTTAAAATTAAGATTCCAGTACTTCTTTCAGTCTAGCAAGTGTATTTTGGGGGGTTTTCAGCTTATGCTTGCACTAAAGTGAACTGACAGCACTAAAAGTGTTTTTAGAACTGTTGTCTTGTATGTTGAGGTATTAATGTAGGAGTAATTGTGGCTCTGGAGCTCCAGCTGCCAGATTGGCAGCTCATTTAAACAAACATGGTCAAGGAGATGAGAGACGAGGTTTAGAAACAGGAAGTTAATGAAGTTGGAGAGATGAGCGACAGTTACAACATCACTGATGTACTCATCCTTCTCACTGTAATTGAAACCTCATTTAGTGAACACAATGCTGATTCTCTACTTTTGTTTGAAACCAAAGGCGACAGAAAGAAAAAGAACCTGGATTTACCTGAAACCAGCAGAGGAAAATCTCTAAAAGAGCTGACTCATAAGATGGACACGAGCAAAATGAGTCTTGTTAGAAGTTTTAAAGAACCTCACAGAGGATTCTGTGCGATTGAAGGGGTTGTACTAATACTATCCTCAGAGTACCATGAATGTCTGCCAGATTAATGCCATGTCACTTTCACTCAGCCCATTTTATTATTGTTTTTTTTCCAGGCAGACTGAAGAGAACCTTTTGAATCTTTCAGAGAATCTTTCTCTGAAGGTGCTCAAGAACATCTACTCATGCTCCATCCAGAGCATATGATGGGAAATATCTGCACCTGGTGTGGGAACAGCACCAAGCAGGACAGACAAGCTCTTCAAGGAGTTGTGGGCCTTGCTGAGCACATCATTTGCTGAGAGCTTCCTGCCCTGCATTCCATTTACATTAAGCGGTGCAGTACCAAAGCCGGGAAGATTATGAAAAACCTTTCTCATCCCGATAATGAACTCTTCTCACTGTCGAGGTCAGGGAAATTCATCTGCTACCTTAAGGCCAACACAGAGAGAATAAGGAGGAGTTTCTTCCCCCAGGCTATTCAGGAGTGTCCAGGTGCTGGACTGGACTCTTTACACATTTCTACAAATCACTGCGCGTGCACCTTAATAACAACAACAATAATGTACTTCTGATCTGGTCTCATACCACATCATTGTACATGCACTTAACTCTGCACACCTTAACTTTGACTTTCATTTTATACTTGATTTTTAATTTCAGTTTATTCTTGTATTTTTAATGGTCAGAAATTGCAATTGCAATAAGTATTTCACTGCATGTCATACTGTGTATGATTGTGACAAATAGGATTTGAATTTGATTTGAGTGGTACAGACACTGATGACTGAAGCATTAATGATTACTAATTTAGTTTATTATACAATACATAACATTAATGGGCATCACTGTGGTTAGCACTATGTCCTCATGCATGTCTGGAGGAAGCTTCAGTTTCTGGGGGAAACCAACATGGGCACAAGGAGAAAATGCAAACCCCAAACAGAAGGCCCCATCTGGGATTCAAACCAGGAATCTTAATGTCCTAATGTCTTGAGGCAACAGTCCTAACTACTCTGTGCACCACTGCATGATGTAAACACAATGCAACAAGGATGAGATACTGAGACATGAATGTTTCATGCAACTGAAGTAGAGTTGAGCAGATTTCCTACACTGTAAGGCTATTACAGGTGTCTGTGTTTGAATACACTCAGGGCCTTTGCCACTGCTCTCTTCTAGCTATCACAAAAACTAAAAATGGAGAGAATAAATTTAGGCATGCCCATCATAATCTTGTGATCCATTCAAGCATGGAGTGAAACAGGTCAGTTTAGCCTGCTTTATTTATTTATTTTTTTAAAACAGTCTGTCTGAATTACAGCTCTAACCTCAAACCCAGAGGTTCACTTGTGACCTGCTGGACGTTACAAGGCTGAATCAATATATTGATTTTTGTGCTATAAAGTGGCTTTAAGAAAGTTTAGTGGCCTATATCAAAATAATGATTTTTGTTTTATTTAGAGAAAAAGTAACCCCCACATAGGCTCCTGGATTTTACTTAAAAGACTCAAAACCTGAACAAAATGTATACAAAGGAATGATAATAGAGATGAAAAATGACAAAAGGAAATACTTGAAGGGACACAATGCTAACCAAAATACATGGAACTGCCACAAAATCTGTAAAAGGAGAGGTTAAAATTAAGAACTGATTCCAGATTTTGATATAAAACAAAAAAAGAGGACCACGATGAAAAGAGGAAAAAAGATCAACAGAAAATGACCAAAACGAGAAACACCAACATTACAGGTGTAAATATCAAATATTGTATTGTACAAACATCCATCCAGTGTTATGTGGTGTAAATATATAAACCCATTAGTGACTCTTACTAGTTGGCACAGAGTTGTATGAACAAAACAAGCTTGGTAGATTTGGTGAATCAAAGATGAATATGCATATTAGTGTTTGGAGCATCAGTGTAAGTGTAATAATAAAGTGTGAGTAAATGATATTTGAACATCATTATTTTGCATATAGCTGCACTGCAGGCAGATATCATTGTCTTATATAATGATAAAGAGTGTAGAATAATTTATGTGGATAAATCTAGTGAATGCAAGCAAGTAATTAATTGTAACCTGTTATTTTAGATTCTTTCCCTTCTAATATAGATAGTTACATTTTGTAAGTTTGTGGTTATTCTCAGTAGAATGTTACAATTCAGAGTGACAGTTCTCTCTATAAGCACGCAACTGTCATAAAACAAGTTCGTTTTAGTCATGAACCGGTCCTGAAGTCATCATTGAACTATTTAAACAATATCTAAACAGCCAACATCTGTCAACATGTATGCTACTGATTCAACCCTAAGCCATTTTGTACTTGTCTTCCGGGTATTATGAGAATTAAAATGCTAAAACTAAAATCGCGCCAGTTTTGACACACCCGTCAAAGCCTTGTGATCCAGCCAAGTTCTCAGTGAAACAGGTCAGTTTACTCTGAGTGTTTAGTTAGTGTTGGCAAATACTCACTTCTAAAGTGAATATTTGCTTGAAAGCATAACATAAATCTGTCCCCTCACCCCAAACCCATCAAAGCAGATAGCTGCCCCTGCCTGAGCCTTGTTCTGCCAGAAGATTCTTATTTTTAAAATAATTAATTTAAATTTTAAAAAGAGTGCTTAAAAGTTCTTCCTTCCCAGTGTTGCCAAGTAGTTTGCTCATAGGGGTCAATTTGATTGCTGGGATTTTCTCTCCATTAAAGTAGTCTTTACCTTAAAATGTAAAGTGCCTTGAGGTGGCTGTTATTGTGATTTGGGGCAATATAAATATGAATGGGACAAAAAACCAATATTGTCAGAGAAAGGGTTAATGACAGTATTATAAGAAATTCTTCATGTAGCACTTAAAAAACCCAAACCAAACCAAAACAAACCAAAACTGCATAGTAAAAAAACCCACACAATTAAAAAAGCTTCTCGGATGAGAGGTTAAACGTCTTCAAGCAACTTAAAGAAGTCCAGACGCTTTTCTTTGCAAGCTCCTTTGACTGTCTGGAAGTAAGTTGATTTAACAGCACAATATGCTGCTGAACTACTTCCATTTTACTTCCATTTGCTGAGGCTCATGTACTGGTGACAAAGGAGAACGGTTGAGTTTCATCTCATAAAACTGATACCGCTTCACCTTTTGGGTGAAGTCGAAGGCCGTATCAGTAAACCACTCTGAAGTGACGCGTGCCAGTGACGGCCCAGCAAAATCTTTGAAAATGGGAAATAAACAAGAAAAATTAACACCTGATGAGAAATGTTTAGACAAACAACAAGCCGGAGCAGGACTAATCCAAAAGAAAGGGAGAGGAATGCAAGAGGTAGAGGCAGGCCTACACACACACCAAACAGTGGCTTTAGCACTACATGCTGGAGCTTTGGAAAAGAGGGACATTTTATATGTGACTGTAAGAAACAAAGAAGACAGTGACTCAGAATAGGATAGCAGCTCAGGTGAAGAGAGAAGTTCAGACTAGGAAGAATATAATAATAATAATAATAATAATAATAATAATAATAATAATAATAATAATAATAATAATGAAGAAAACAAAGAGTGATGTTTTGTTTAAGTGGTGAAGAAAGCTAATACTGCAAAATACCGTCTAGTGCATGATCTGCGAGCAATAAATGAAATCACTGAAATGATGCCATCAGTAGTATCAAATCCCCACACTATACTGAATCAAGTCACTCCAAAAGAACAATGGTTCTCAGTGATAGACTTATCAAACCATCTACTCTAATGTAGATGACATTTTAGTGACTGGCCACACAGAGGAAGGGTCACTTGGCTGAGTTAAGGCCACAAGGTATCTTTAAATAAACTCTAATTATGGAGACCTGAAGTCACGGGCTCAGGGCACATCCTCTCAGGTGAAGGCAGAAAGCTACTAAACAAAAGAAAAGAAGCCATACAAAATGCGCCACAGCCACAAACTAAGCATTTGCATTCTTTCTAACTCCCAGTGAGCCTGAGTTATGACCCTTTCTCCCTGTTTTTCTACTTCCAACAAAGGTAGAGGTGAAGAATGTGTTCTGTTGTCTCTACTATCAGAAAACAGTGTAACACACTCACAGTAAGTCAGCAGTATAGGATAATACAAACCTATCTAATGAATCTAATGATTCTCACATTATTTTAACTCAGAAGTATGATGCAAACTAAAACTACATACTGATTACATAAGAAGTTTGATGTGGCCTACAGCAGTATCAGTACTCATTTTGATTACAGGTATAATGTAATATATAACAGCATAATAATCTCACAACTGCTACAAGCACATTTGCCTTTCTTAACACACGCGAGAGAAAGGCAGCTGTTGAGAAAATGCCCTTTTGTGGTGAGACAGGCCCTGCATGCAAGCGTACTAACACACATACATGCATGGAAGAACAGCTTACACTATAGCACACACTATACATGCATCTGAATGCACACATACATATAAACATCCACATTCCAATGTAAGGAACAAACACCCACTGATGTATAAAATAAAGACCAGGGCAGTCTCAGAGCTGCGAGTCTCTGAGCCCTCACTCTCATGTGAGCGCTCTGGTGGCTGCCCTTGCTAGCAAGAAAACCTGTGTGTTTCTCCTCTCTGATTCTCTGCTGAAGAAGTGTTTTAGAATACATCTCTTGACAAACAACATCAACAAAAAGAAAAAAATTAGTCCGATCTTTGCTGTTTGACAGGAGTGATGATTAGGGGGGCAGTGTTTGTGCCACTGTCACTACTACCAGGACTGAAAAATGGATAAAGTTTCTCTGTGAAGGTTTGGCCAGTATATGAGTGAAGAAGAACTGCAGCATTTACATCATAAAAGGAAACCAAACCCTCCTCATAATCCACAAAAACTCTCACCTTCTCTGGGTGATCATTCACAGAGAGAGGGACAGGATCGGCAGCAAGTGCAAAGTACTCATTTCTGTCCCTCAGATATATAGCCCAGTAGCCGTTCTCTGGGTTAAGTTTAATTTCTCCCTTCCTATTGACCGACCCTTTGGCCACTCCTAACGTCCACCCAGTCTTTCCTTTAACCTGGACGTCATAGTAAAGTCTTCCACAGGAGAAGCCTCGTGTCCCTAAAACAGAAATTGCAGGTTCAAATCTTTTTGAGCTGTCTGGCAGTTCCTTCCATTCATCACCACAATGCACTTGCTTCCCATCATTGGACAGGATGAGAGCAGGATGTGCCGTATCGGGATCCAAAGTAACATCCACCGCATTCTGCCGAATGTTGTTGAACTGAGCGTCCCGTATCATCTTCACCTCATTCTTGATGGTCTCTGTCAGCTCATCCACAGCTTTCACCAAAGCTGTCCTTGTGATTCCCTCGTATATTGCTGGACAGATGCTGACATCTGTCCAGTCTTTGGTGGGTGGAGCAGCATTCAGGGACGGGAAGCTCTGGAGGAAACGAAGACGGTCTTTAGAGCGTGAGAGTTCCTCCATCTCATCACGTCTCCTTGTCAGCTCAAAGGCCTCCTGCTCCAGCTCTGTGATATAAACTTTGGTCTGTTTCTCTGTCCTTTTCTGGTTCTCTTCAGTCATCTCGATTAGCTCTGCCTGAGCTCTTTCCAGAGACTTAATCAGAGCCGAGAAGACCCGAACACCATTTGCTGTCTCTCTGTCTGCAGCTTCTGTGCTGAGCTTTAAAGATTGTTTGAGCTCGTGGACTTTTCTTTGTCTCTCTTGGATCATGTGGAGAATTTTAGCCTCTGTTATCCCAAGTTGTGTTTTTTTTGCTTCATATTCCTCTTTCAGGGGAACTACCCGGTGAAATCTGTGATCTGCGTCCACACATGACTGACATATGATCATTTGTTCATTCTTGCAATAGAAGTCCAAAGGTTTGCCATGCTCAGCACACATCCTGTCTTCTTCTTTCTCCACAGAATTAAACAGCTTGTGAGATTTTAAGATGGACACTGTTTGATGAAAATGTAGATTAGCTACAAAGAAGAGTGTAAGAAAGGTTAAGCTAAGAATTATGAACAGGCAGGACTTCAGCGATGTCCGTTTAGGTGCAGCAGGAGCATCATAAGAACCTTTTTCTTGTATGGCATTGTGTTGCTCTGAGCTATCATCAGCTTTCTTTCCAACAGTTTTTCTAAACTGAACAGCCATCTCAGATATGAAAGTATTCACACCAAGCTTATATTTCCTATCCACCTGCTCTTTGCACATGGGACACTTGCGCTGGGAATTAAAATTTAAATGTTCCGTGATGCAGTCTTTGCAGAAGTTGTGTCCACATGGGAGTGTGGCGGGATCCCTGAACACGTCCAGACAGATGCAGCACAAAAGCTGCTCTTCAGTCAGAAGATAGCTGGCAGCCGTCATGTTGATGATCTGCAGCCAAGAGAGAAAACGTAAAAGGAATGTGACCATGTAAATGTAACTTTCTCACGGAACACATTGTACTTCTCTGCTGTAGAAACTCACACAGCCTCCAGCAGCCACATTACAAACAGTGATTACTTCATCTTACAATCTGCCTTTATCTTATGGTAACTGAAATTGTACTGACCTTTTGTCACCGTCTGGCTGGCAGACCGTGGAGGTGTAGGGAAGGAGGACCCAGGCGCGGTGCTCTATGTACAAGCAGTGCCTTTATTTACAGTGATGGACAGACATGACAATAAATCCCGTGCTCTCCCGACTCCCGTGACGTGTCCTCTTCCCAGTGCTAGTGCTCCTGTCTCCGCTTCTCCGTGATGAGCACCCCGTGCTCGCTGTCCTCTCGTCTCCCCGTAACTCCTGGGGACAGGAGAAGACAGGGAAGCCGTCAGACACACAATAATGCAGCAGACTCAAACTAGAAACTTGTTGAGAGACTAACGTGAAGCCACACAATGATCCAGCGTCGGAGAGAGTTCCACCACACTCTCAAGTAGCTCCTCCGACGAGGCCTGATCAGCTGCAGGTGTGTTACGGTCTTCAGGCGTGGCCAATCACCTGCCAGGGCCACACCCCCACCCACACCTACATACACACAGATCTACATGCAGGGAGAACGAGGGACAGCAATACAAAATACAGACATTGTAATACTAGTCCATGACTGCTCAGGGTCCCTGGCTCGCTCAGACCCAGGACCCTGACACCTTTGCTGCATGTGTTTTAGTCCTCTGCTGTGCTGCCGTAAAGACGAAATTATATGCTGTCACTCTGGTATTTGGCACTACCATGGAACCTTTTCAGGCAAGTGTGCACACACCCACGACTGTGCAGTAAAAATGAGCAACCGCTAAATTATTTCAATTAATTGAGCTCACTTGCATAAGAGGACAAAGAGCACTTACTATGATCTCCCCTGTCCTTCCTCAGAAGGTTTATTCTTGGAATCTACTCAGTTTGCTTTACATGATTTACACTATGTAATATTCCTGCATTACATGAATTCATCACAAAATTATCTTCTCTGAACTGGAGAGGATAACTGCTGAAAACAGCCCGAAGGTGTTGTCACACCTATAATTTCTTTATTCTGGTTACTCCAGTCCACTGATGTGTTTGTGAACTTCACAGATAAAACCAAGTGAACTCAAAGCAATGCATACTGCGTCACTTCAAACCATGTGAGAATGTTCCTGTAAATTATCCCTCTGAGCTTTTTATAGACCAGCAATTATATTCCGTTCACACAAATTCAAGTTCTGACAAAATACATCTCAGCTATTAAACTTTCTCATGCAACATAATTTACTTTGGTCTACAAACTTATACAGCCTTTTTCATCTATGAGCTCTGTTTATTACAACAAAAGTGGTTATTTCATCATACCATTTTAGGGTAACCTAAACTATACTGGCCTGTGGTGTGTGTGTCTTAGGCTCCTCTGCTGTGCTGCTGGAAGAATGATAACTCTGTGTGTGCTGTCATTCTGTCTTGTTATGCAAATGCAAGTCCTTAGCTGTGTCCCAAAACGTCGGCTGCATCCTTCGGAGGACCCGGCCTTCGCGGTCAACGTGGGCTGGGTCCCTCGAAGACC